AAGAGTGCCCTACAAGAGTGTCCTACAAGAGTGTCCCACAAGAGTGTCCTACAAGAGTGTCCCACAAGAGTGTCCCAAAAGAATGCCCCGCAAGAGTGTCCTACAAGAGTATCCTACAAGAGTGTCCCACAAGAGAGGCCCACAAGAGTGTCCAAGAGTGTCCTACAAGAGTATCCCACAAGAGTTTCCTACAAGAGTGTCCCACAAGAGTATCCTACAAGAGTGTCCCACAAGAGAGACCCACAAGAGTGTCCAAGAGTGTCCCACAAGAGTTTCCGACAAGAGTGTCCCACAAGAGTGACCCCCAAGAGTACAAGAGTGCCCCACAAGAGTTTCCTACAAGAGTGTCCCACAAGAGTGTCCCACAAGAGTGTCCTGCAAGAGTGTCCCACAAGAGATTCCTACAAGAGTCTCCCACAAGAGTGTCCCATAAGAATGTCCCGCAAGAGTGTCCTACAAGAGTGTCCAACAAGAGTGTCCCACAAGAGTTTCCTACAAGAGTTTCCCACCAGAGTGTCCCACAAGAGCGTCCCACTAGAGTGTCCCACAAGAGTTTCCTACAAGAGTGTCCCACAAGAGTGCCCCACAAGAGTGTCCTACAAGAGTGTCCCACAAGAGTGACCCCCAAGAGTTTCCTACAAGAGTGTCCCACAAGAGTGTCCCACAAGAGTGTCCCACAAGAATGTCCCGCAAGAGTGTCCCACAAGAGTGACCCACAAGAGTGTCCTACAAGAGTGTCCAACAAGAGTGCCCCACAAGAGTGTCCTACAAGAGTGTCCAAAAAGAGTGTCGTGTAAGAGCGTCCCACAAGAGTGTCGTGTAAGAGTGTCCCACAAGAGTGTCTCGCAAGAGTGTCCCATAAGAGTGCCCTACAAGAGTGTCCTCAGAGTGTCCCACCAGAGTGTCCCACAAGAGTGCCCTACAAGAGTGTCCCACAAGAGTGACCCACAAGAGTGTCCTACAAGAGTGTCCCACAAGAGTGTCCCACAAGAGTGTCCTACAAGAGTGTCCCACAAGAGTGTCCCACAAGAGTGTCCCACCAGAGTGTCCCACAAGAGTGTCTCACAAGAGTGTCCCACAAGAGTTTCCCACAAGAGTGCCCCACAAGAGTGTCCCACAAGAGTGTCCTACAAGAGTGTCCTACAAGAGTGACCCACAAGAGTTTCCTACAAGAGTGTCCCACAAGAGTGTCCCGCAAGAGTGTCCCATAAGAATGCCCCGCAAGAGTGTCCTACAAGGGCGTCCCACAAGAGTCACCCACAAGAGCGTCCCATAAGAATGTCCCGCAAGAGTTCCCCATAAGAGTGTCC